TGCTGTATGAAGATAGTGTCACTCGTCAGGTTCCCGTGGATGATGGGGGGACTGCAGGCGTGCAGAAAGCTGCAGGCGAGGAGAAGGGAGCAGGCGGAGCAGGGTCAGGGGACGCTAGGGATGCGGGAGCGCGGCGGGGCGGGCGCGCGGGCAGGCACTCACCTGAGCGCGGACAGGATCTGCGTGCACCAGCGCTTCCAGGCCTGGCGGCGGACGCACTCCGTCGGACCGGCGGGAAGAGGCGGCTGGGCCTGCGGTGCCAACACCGCGTCCCCTCCCGGGACCAACCCCGTTCCTGTCCCCGAAGCCACCCTGCGCCCCGCACCACCTCCGTCCCAGATGACGCCCGACCCCGACCTGTCCTCCACGCAGCCCCAGCCCACTCCCCATACCCGGGCGTTCATGGCCTTGTGGTTCTTCTTGGTCTTTTTGAGGAACTGCTTGAGGCTGCCCGAGGACACGTACTCTGTGATGAAGATGACCTGCGGGGCAGGCGGGCTCGCGGGCTCCGCCAGCTGGGGTGGGTGCCCACGGCTGCCCCGCCCGCTGGTGCCCCGCCCGCCCCTGCCGGGCCCGTGGCTCACCCGCGCGCGAGTCTCCGAGGCATCGAGCCAGTACTTGTGCAGCTTGACGATGTTGGGGTGGTCGAGCAATGCCAGCTGCTCAAACATGGTCTGGATCGTCTCCTGGAAGGGGGGCGGCGGTCACGGGGCGGTCACAGGAGTGGGCCGGGGGTCGCAGCGGGCCTCACCTCGTGGGCCGAGAAGGCCTTCCTGTCGCCAAAGTGCAGCTCGTTCCACACCACCTCCACGCCCTCCTCCGTGTCCATGGCAAGGAAGGTGCTCTGGACCCCGGGCATGTTCCCCTGGTTCACCTGGCGGTGAGGATGGGGGAGACGCGTGTGCTGGTGTGTGTCAGGGGGACAGTGGGGGCTTGGTCACGCCCTTCCCACAGCCGCTTTGGGGAAAGTTGCGAGCATCCAGGGCGGGGCTGAGGGTGTTCAGAGCAGGATTCAGGGGTGGAGGATGTTTCCTCCTCCCTGAGCGGGTGGGGGGACTGCTGGCTGGTCCCCAGAGGGGCGGGGAAGTGGTCCGGGGAGCAGACTGCCCTTAGGGAATCGGAGGTTTTTCACCAGGGCGTGGAGGCCAGGCCAAAAGGGTCCGAGAAGGAGGCCACCTGCTCGAGGCGGCGGAGAGGTTTCCGGCCTCCGACTGCCCCAGAGACACCCCGCGGTGCCCACCTGCTCCCGCCGCTTCTGCCAGCGGCCACACGGGCTCTCCTCCAGGATGTCGCTCTCGTCCTCGCTCTCGTCCTCCCGTTCCCGCTCCCGGCCCCGCCTGGGCGCCGGCTCCGGGGCCGCCATGGCTCTAAGCGTCCCTTCCCCTCTGGTAACCATTAGTTTATAGTCCTTGTACATGAGTCTCTGTTTGTTTGTACTGTTCATTTGTTGCTTTTAGGTTTACATCCCACATATAAGTGATATCATATGATTTTCAACTTTTTCTGTCTGGCTTATTTCGCCTAGCATGATTATCTTGAGGTCCATCCACATTGTCGCAAATGGAAGTATTTCGTCTCTTCTTCCGGCTGAGTAATATTTAACA